TCATATTCTCATGGTCCTAATACAAAGCGAGATTCATTCTAGCTTTAATTTTATCTTCTTTTTTTTTTGTTTTTTACATCCATAAACATGTTAAAAATATTGTCAAAAATTATTTTTATCAATATATATAACATCAAATTATGGTAGATGACATAGGTTTTCCAATAAGAAAGCTCTAAAAAAATACCTCATTTTACCCAATTATGGGTCACACCGAAACTATATAACTTTTTCTTACTAGAATAAAAATCAAATACAATGCTTTCAAACTACGATATTTCATCATAGACCTCTTCACCTGACAATATCAATGCTACAATATTCCTTTCAATTTTACATTTTAAAAAATCTTTTCTATTGTTATTGAATTGATGATGACTTGGAAAACATAAAAAAATCTTATTAAGTACACAAACCCATAAAATTGTGTTGATTTATGTAATATTTGTCAATAATGAGAGAAACATTCCCACTAAAGATTTTTCTCACAAGAATTTATTTCAACATAAGTTAAATATCAATTACCAAACAAATCAGACTCCTAAAAAATGTGATAAAACATTTATTCATTAATCTAAAACAATAGTTTACAAAGCATGTATAATACAAACTTATTCTAAAAATTATTGTCCTAAACAAAGCTACTTCACATATTTTTTTTCAACATTTATAAGCCTAGATATGCCACAACTTTATTAATGCAATATCGAATTTGACTAAGATAATGCAAGAGTTCTTTCGAAGTTAATCGATTTTATACTATGTGTTGAGCTATGCTTTTCAATCTTATAGAATAATTATTAGCATTTTGATCATGTATGTGATAGTGCATGATTTTGGAAGCTAATGATGTGCTTTCCTTTTCATAACATCTCTTTTATCGGTTAAAGTTTGCCTGATTTTGTCAAATTCATATTCTCATGGTCCTAATACAAAGCTAGATCCATTCTAGCTTTAATTTTATCTTTTGTTTTGTCTTTTACATCCATGATCATGTTAAAAATATTGTCAAAAATTATTTTTATCGATATACATAACATCAAATCATGGTAGATGACATAGGTTTTCCAACAAGAAAGCTCTAAAAACATACCTCATTTTACCGAATCATGGGTCACACCAAAACTATATTACTTTTTCTTACTAGAATAAAAATCAAATACAATGCTTTCAAACTACGATATTTCATCGTAGACCTCTCCACCTGACAATATCAATGCCATAATATTCCTTTCAACTTTACATTTTAAAAAATCTTTTCTACTGTTATTGAATTGATGATGACTTGGAAAAAACCTCTGGTGACAATATAAAAAAAAATATTTACCAACATTGATTAAGGTAAATGCCTTTTTATTATCCATATAATATGAACAAACTAATTTTTCATATATGCTCTAACTTGAAACCATCCTATACATGGAAAAGTCATTTATACTCTATACTAAAGTTATACTCATTTAAAATTGTTATTTTCTTGAGACATCATATGTCATATCCCTAACTGACCAAAAATGATTTGACACATCAATCAATGGTTAAAGACAAACATTCATATTTCTACTTAGATCGTTGAACATGTATGACAATAGATAATATCATGAATTTTGGCTTTATACACATCTTTGAAGACAAATGATAAACTATTAGTATGATTAGATAAGAAAAATAAAAAAGTAGTAAATAATCCAAATGAATTAAATCTATTAGTTCACAAACCAAAATGTATATTCCATGGTTTCATAAAAAACTAATGATGCTTCCAAGTTTCACCATAAAAAAGATACACTATAATTATATCCATCTCATCATATGAATGATATCATATTATATGCTGAGTAGTATTTAGAGATATAAATAACCTTTGTAACTTATAAGTGATTGGAAAGTATCTTAATTTTTTATATTCAACAAGTTTCCTTCCTCTACCACTATTAGGTTTATACTAAGTATGCTGAAAGATTTTGCACTTGGTAAAATTTGTATATTTACTGCAGTACACAATACAAAAGTTTGGACACATATCAATTTTTTGATATCTCAGGCCTAGAGGTTTCATCATAGATTTATGAACATAGAAGTTATCTTTTAGCCTATTCCCTTTAAGTAACATGTTTTTTTCTTATTCGAAGATCCTATTATAATCGATCTTACTTAACCTATAATCTAACTTGATGGCAAACACTTGTACAATAATTGGTAATTTACTATGAGTTATACACCCCCCTCCCAATCCTATAACGGTTTATTAGAATATTTTAAAAGTTAAAAAAATCTAGTTATATCTATATTTGGTTCTTCATCTAAAGGATTATTACGTGAATCTTTACCTAAATAATTATAATTTATTTCCATTACATCCATCATGATACTCTAATAAGGATTACTATTATCGACCGTAAACTCATGTATCTTGTTAGAACTATAAGCTTAGTAAACTATGCTTTCTAACATGGTTATGTAAAAAAAATAGGGTTCTCCACGTGCAAAATAACATAAGTATTTCTTAACAAACTTTTTTTTTAAGTAGATGCAGTATCACAACATCTTTATGGTGAAACTTTTTATTCCTATGCTTCACATTTAGTAATCTAATTTCACCTTAACTAACATTCTTTGGCTTATAAAATACAAAATTAATAAAATTCTCAACCCCTTTAAGATAATGTAACCTATACAACCTTTTAAAAGAATCTCAATACATCCAAGAATGATCCAATAGCTTATTATCATTTTTACACAAATTCAATTTTGTGTCAAAAAATGAACTAAACAATAAAATTATTAACAAATAATCGACATGAAAATAATTATATATCATTTGTTCAATTAATACCTTTTAATTAATTATTATCAATTCCATAGAAAACTAGTTTCCCTCAAATTTCCAACTTGATAATAAAATTAATATACTATAATTAGTACTCATTATTTCTTTAATTATAAAACATCTAAATTTTAAAATTAAACTCAATTTCATCATTTAACCTATAATCTAACTTGATAGCAAACACTTGTGCAATAATCAGTAATTTACTATGAGTTGTACACCCCCCTCCCAATCCTATAACGATTTATTAGAATATTTTAAAAGTTAAAAAAATCTAGTTATATCTATATACGGTTCTTCATCTAAAGGATTATTACATGAACCTTTACCTAAATAACTATAATTCATTTCCATTACATCCATCACGATACTCTAATAAGGATTACTATTATCAACCGTAAACTCATGTATCTTGTTAGAACTATAAGCTTAGTCAACTATGCTTTCTAACATGGTTATGTAAAAAAAATAGGGTTCTCCACGTGCAAAATAACATAAGTATTTCTTAACAAACTTTTTTTTTAAGTAGATGCAGTATCACAACATCTTTATGGTGAAACTTTTTATTCCTATGCTTCACATTTAGTAATCTAATTTCACCTTAACTAACATTCTTTGGCTTATAAAATACAAAATTAATAAAATTCTCAACCCCTTTAAGATAATGTAACCTATACAACCTTTTAAAAGAATCTCAATACATCCAAGAATGATCCAATAGCTTATTATCATTTTTACACAAATTCAATTTTGTGTCAAAAAATGAACTAAACAATAAAATTATTAACAAATAATCGACATGAAAATAATTATATATCATTTGTTCAATTAATACCTTTTAATTAATTATTATCAATTCCATAGAAAACTAGTTTCTCTCAAATTTCCAACTTGATAATAAAATTGATATACTATAATTAGTACTCATTATTTTTTTAATTATAAAACGTCTAAATTTTAAAATTAAACTCAATTTCATCGAATGACAAATAAAATCAATTTCTCTGAAATTTCAAATAAACTCTAACACAAAAACCATATATTAATACATATTCTTTTGGAAAAAGATATAAAACACTTCAAATATAAATGAGATACCATAAAATTGGTAAATTTCCCTACTTGGTCCAGAGAAGCTACACAAGAAATTGAACAAGGAGAGAAATGCTAACACTATTAATAGATGTAAGTAATTTTGGGCAGCTGAATTTGTAAAGGTGGTGGCTAGATTTGTGAGAAAATGTGGGGGATAGCTACTAAATTTTTGAAAAAAAAAATAAGAAGTAGAAAAAGAGAAACTTTTTTTAAAAAAAAAAATAAGAAGTAGAAAAAGAGAAGAGAGAATTATCAGATTTTAATTTATTTAAATTTATTGATAGATATTCTATAAAAAAATCCTAACATAACAAATTTACGAGAGAATTGTAGATGAAAATTTTATTAATATTTTTTATGTTTTTACATTTTATCTGAAACCATAAAAAAATCCTAACATAACTTCGATGAAAATTTTATTAATTTTTTTTATGTTTTTACATTTTATCTGAAATTACCCATGAAATATATTTCATCTCTATACATGTTAGCAATTACTAACGAAAAAAATTTATTACAATTTTCATTGGAAATTACTGATATAATATTTTTAGTTCCATTTTTAATGCCATTTGCTAATTTTCTCACAGAGATAAAGTAGAATTCTGTAGCGTACAAGTAAAGTGGAAAATGGGGACATGAGTTTCATAGATGATAAAGTAAAATGAGAATCCCCCACCCCCACGTACAAGTAAAGGGAAAAATGGGGACATGAGTTTCATAGATGAGAATCTTGAAGTTGAACATAACTATAGTTGCTGAGACTACTAATTTAAATAAAAATATTTAACAATCCTTTGCAAATAAAGCATGGGATCTGACATAAATTCCTCAATTTTTATAATTTTTTATTTAAGAAAAATAAAAGAATCTACTTGGAAAAAAATGTGAAATAGATTAAAGTATTAAGTTATAAATGGATTTAAAAACATAAATATTAAATATATAATTTATATGAATATGAGGACTAACTAATTAGGTTTGGTAAACAACAAGGACTGAGTTTATAATTACCAGAAGATACAAATTCCCTTTTCTTTTATTGGTCATGGATATCTATTTGTGACCTCCTTTCAAGGAAGGCTTGAATTAGTGGATTAATTACCATATAAAATGCTAACAAAAATAGTATACATATTTGTATCAAATCATCCCTGCTCTCTTCTATAAAACAGGGGAGCCTTTGATATGGAAAGAATCCTTAGTATCTCATTTAAATTTAGGTTAGTCAATCTTCCAAATCTCATACTATACTAGAAACGTCACCAACAATGAAGAAACTTTCCATCCTCTTTCTGTTTCTTCTTCCTCTCTTAGCCTCATGCGAGGAGAAGCAGGTTTCTTTTCTCTTATCTGTTTATGTTCATGTTTTATTTTTTATTTAAGAAAAGAAGTCTTGTTAAATCGTATGCTTTTATGGCAATATAACAGGTCTACATAGTGTACTTTGGAGAGCATAAAGGAGAAAAAGCATTGCATGAAATAGAAGAATTTCATCACTCATATTTGTATGGAGTGAAACAAACTGAAGAAGAAGCTAAAGCCTCTCTTCTTTACAGCTATAAGCACAGCATCAATGGCTTCGCGGCATTGCTAAACCCAGATGAAGCGTCCAAGCTATCAGGTATATATAAGAAGTCATCTTATGATTTCGCTTGCATATATATATATGTTCATCCTTCTGATCGTAGCTTAAATTATACATTGCAGAGTTGAAAGAAGTGGTGTCAGTCTTTAAAAGTAACCCAAGAAAGTACTCAGTGCAAACAACAAGATCATGGAGATTTGCAGGCTTGGAAGAAGAGGGACATAACGTAAATCATGGCTTTGGAGAGGGCAGCGACTTACTAAAGAGAGCAGGATATGGAAAACAGGTCATAGTTGGGCTCATAGATAGTGGTAACAATAATTCTGGCCAATAAAAACAACTTCATATATTGTTCTCTAGTATATTTCTAGTTGTCGGTAACTCTTCGCTCACGTGATTCCTCCTCCATTATTTTGTAGTTTAGTTATCATGCATTTATCCATCTAATGATAACTGATTGGTCCTGAGAAATATGATTCAATGTGATAATGTCAGAATGGTTTTTGATAATATTACCAATCAGGTGTGTGGCCAGAATCACAAAGTTTCACGGATGAAGGGATGGGACCCATCCCAAAATCATGGAAGGGAATCTGCCAAAATGGACCTGATTTTAACTCATCCCACTGTAACAAGTGAGTCTTCTGATACCTTTACTCAGTGCTAGTCCCTTCAACTCTATCTTCATGCTTGATTATTTATGCTGTTTCGAAGAATTTAAGCCATGACGCGAATAAGTTTAACAGCTGGTTATGACCAAGACGTTGGTGTCTTTTTGATGTGAAACATGTCCATGTGTGAGCGGTGACCCTGATTTAACTTTTATGCCCTTGATTTCTATGGGGGGCATGATTCTGATTTTGAACCCTCTTGCTCTTAATGTGCTTTTTTTTCCTTTGTTCATGGCATTTGGTTAGGCATAATGATTTTATCACGAAACTAATGCTGTTGTTATCGTGTACCAATGCAATATCCCTACTTAGACTCCACTCTCTTTTCTTCTTCTCCATAGTTATGTCACCATTGCCACATATTTCCATGCATAAAAAGTGTTTGAGCATGTTTCAAAAGATGGCTACAAGTATAAATTATCATAGTTTGACTGATACAGAATTCCAAAAGCTACTGAAACTCTGCACCAAGAAGGATTTTAATCGGACAAGGAGAAAAGATAATAAAGCATCATATTTGATTGGTCAATAACTAGTTGGAATCAATGAAGATATATATTCACAGATGCTTGTTGTGGTGGAATATTATTCACAGAACAGGTCTTACAAGTCCTGCAAAATTAAATTACAAAAATACAAAACACTCCAATTAATTAATGGTACTAAGTTGAAGAAAATTATAAATACAATTGCATAATTCGATAAATGTGTTACACAAAAACTACCTTAATCGTAGAAATAGTACTTGGCCAGATTTCTATGAACTCTTGATTGCAGATTTTTCAAAATTAATGTAGTGTGCCAACAATTCAACAAGTACGTACTTGTAATTAACAAGAGGATACCATGCCTGTAACTATATTATTGTCAATGGATAGATTCTCAACTTTTCCTAAGAACCAAACAAGGTATTTTCATAGCCAGCTTCTAAATGGGCCAGCCCTACACACCATAGATGTCTTTCTATGAATGTTATTTAATAGCTGTCTCTGTTGAGTGATCCTAGTTTGTCTGTTCCATTTAAACGAAGCAAGAAATCAGGTCTGCGGTTCCTTGTTTTGGCTTCATACAATTCCCAACATGTGAACTCTCCTTATCTTGCCATTGCCCGATGCAATTATTTATTGTCTGCTTCCCGAAGTGAGAAGACGTCTGCTCTTCAACCTCTATCCCTTGTTCTGCTCCGCTAACTGTAATTTAAGCACCAACCCACTCGAAGTTCAAATCCCCTTTCGCCGAGGTGTGAACGAGTGACAACAGGAGAGGGACAGGAGATAGGCTTAAGAATGCAAGGGGTGACAGTAAATCAATTGACAAGTGGAGATAGTGAATCACACATGGGAAATTTAGAGCATGAGACTGAGGCCCGATCAAAATTATGGTGCCCCATTAATGAAGAAAGGATTTCCCCTATTTCGACTTCCTTGTAAGATGAAAACGGGGAATTACTGCTGCTTCTAAAAACCAACACATTTAAACTTCACAGATTGGATTTTATAAGTTGACTGATTTTTGCTGAATTATCTGGCAATGAAACTAATCATAATCATGGTCTTAAGTTAGTAAGATAATGAACATGTTAAACAACTTCATGATTCTCTCTAATTGAATTTCTTTAACAAACTAGTCATACCATGCAACCCAAATTAGATTCTGTCCTTAACACTCTATGATACAAACTTGGGCTTTTTGCAGGAAAATTATTGGAGCTCGATACTACATCAAGGGTTTTGAAAACTACTATGGACCATTGAATATGACTGAGGACTCCAGGTCACCACGTGACAGGGATGGCCATGGGACTCATACAGCGTCCACCGCTGTTGGAAGCCGGGTAAAAAATGCAGCAGCTTTGGGCGGCTTCGCTCGTGGAACTGCCACGGGTGGGGCTCCGTTAGCTCACCTGGCAATATACAAGGTGTGTTGGGCGATCCCGAACCAAGAAAAGGCTGAAGGCAACACATGTTTCGAGGAAGATATGCTTGCAGCTATTGATGATGCCATTGGTGATGGAGTCCATGTTATGAGCATCTCCATTGGCACCCGAGAACCCACTCCTCTCAAAGAAGATGGTATTGCTATTGGTGCATTCCATGCCTTGAAAAAAAACATTGTGGTGGCGTGTGCTGCTGGGAATGAAGGCCCTGCCCCATCTACATTGTCCAATCCAAGTCCTTGGGTTATCACAGTAGGTGCTAGCGGCGTGGACCGTGCATTTTTGGGACCCCTTGTGCTAGGAAATGGGATGAAAATTGAGGTAAAGAAAAAAAAAAGAATTTGTTTGATGATTATGGTTGTTTATATCCGGTTTGCTTGGATCATTAATTAATTTATTCCTAAATTCATATTTTGATCTTAGGGACAAACTGTTACTCCTTACAAGCTGGACAAAGATTGCCCATTAGTGTTTGCAGCAGACGCAGTTGCCTCCAATGTCCCCAAGAACGGAACAAGGTTTCTCTCCTCCCAAAACAATTTACGGAGACGTCTTGGTTTATAGTATATCATCACTCATGCCATATTGTGAAGGAAAGTGATTGTTAGCAGGCTGGTGTAGTGATTTCATGGATAACTAGGGAATTTGACGGAAAACTCACCATAATAGGGATATACTATCATTTGTTGAAAATATGCTGCTACTCGGCAGTTCTATATAGTCTTTTTGTAGTTATATACTATATTCTGGAACTCCAGAGCATGCATTCACATCCTAGAATTCAATGCAAGACAATAACGCCTAATTTCAAAAAAAGAAGAAAAGGTCATAATAGAAACATATTGTCATTTGTAGAAAATATATTGCTAATTGGCAGTGATCCCTCTTATTATTTTGTTGGTATACACAGTATTTTTATAGCCCGTGCATGCATTTTACCTGCTTTATTGTTCACTGACAATATGTTGTTGCGTTGTATACTAATAAGTGTCCATTTGTAAATTTCCATGAATACTGGGGTTTATCTCCTTGTAACTTTCACCAGTTTTCCTCTTTCTCTTCTCTTGATTGTGTATTTTTTTAGTTATTATGAAATATTTTAGGAACGGAACCCCAACAACTTCTTTGGCAATCATCTGCTTCCGAAAATTTTAGAGTAAAAACTTCCAAAACAATTCTCTGTAACAGTATGTAATCAATACTTTCTTATGTGTTAATGCAGCCAATGCCTTCCCAATTCTCTTTCACCTAGAAAGGTCAGAGGAAAAATAGTACTGTGCATGAGAGGATCTGGAATGAGAGTTGCCAAAGGAATGGAGGTGAAAAGGGCTGGAGGTTTTGGTTTCATCTTAGGAAATAGCCAAGCAAATGGGAATGATGTAATTGTGGATGCGCATGTTCTTCCTGCAACTTCAGTAGGCTACAATGATGCCATGAAAATTCTCAACTACATCCGCTCCACCAAGAATCCAATGGCTAGAATTGGGCTAGCAAGGACAGTTTTACATTATAGACCAGCACCAGTCATGGCTTCATTTACCAGTAGAGGTCCAAATGTGATTCATCCTTCCATTCTCAAGGTGATTAATTTGGTTACTTTTCTCATTCTCCTTTTCTCTTATATCTACTTCTTACCAAAGGAATATGTTTAGGCCAATAGAATAATTCCTCAGAGGAAAGTTAGTAAGTCTGAATCTGCTAGTATAGCTAATTGTCTTCTAAGACAATAACAGAAACTTTTTTGTCAGCCGGACATAACAGCTCCAGGAGTAAACATATTGGCAGCATGGAGTGGAGCAACAGCCCCATCAAAGTTGTATGAAGATAAGCGATTGGTTAAGTATAACATTATTTCTGGAACTTCTATGGCTTGTCCTCATGTAGCTGCTGCAGCAGCACTTCTCAGAGCAATACATCCTGAATGGAGCAGTGCTGCTATAAGATCTGCCCTCATGACCACCGGTAAACATCGATCCTTCTTCGGTATCATTATTCTCTATGTCAGTACTAATGATACTTAAATGCTCCATTGTTTGACATGCAGCCTGGATGAAGAACAACATGGGTCAGCCCATAGCCGATCAATCTGGCAATGCTGCGACTCCATTCCAGTTTGGTTCAGGGCACTTCCGTCCAGCAAAGGCAGCAGATCCTGGTCTAGTATATGATGCATCTTATACGGATTACCTGCTCTATCTTTGCAGCTATGGAGTCGAAAACGTTTACCCCAAATTCAAGTGCCCAGCAGTATCACCGTCAATATACAACTTCAACTATCCATCAGTGTCACTTCCTAAGCTCAATGGCACTCTAAACATTACAAGGACTGTCACAAACGTTGGTGCTAGCAGTAGTGTCTACTTCTTTAGTGCCAGGCCACCTTTGGGATTCGCTGTTAAAGCGTCGCCGAGTGTTCTGTTTTTTAATCATGTAGGGCAGAAGAAAAGCTTTATCGTAACAATAAAAGCTAGGGAAGATTCCATGTCAAATGGTCACAACAAGGGTGAGTATGCCTTTGGCTGGTACACTTGGTCTAATGGTCACCATGATGTAAGAAGCCCTATGGCAGTATCTTTGGCGTAGGGTACTGTCTCCTCCCTCATTCCAATTTTTCTTCAGTTCTTGCTTAATTTGCGCATTATAGGAGGCTCAGAGCTGACAGGGGAAGATTTCAATTTTAAATATATTTGTAAACCGCCTGGTAATAGTAACATCTTTGATAATAATAAAATTCAAGATTATAAAAAAAATAGAAGTGATAAATTAGATTACAAGAATGACAATAAATTTAAGAATTTAAAATAAAATATTTTGTATGGATATTAAAATAAAAATAAAAAATATTAATACTAAAAAAATAATAAATAAATACAAATACAATTTTAATGGAAATGAATTATACAAAATTGAAAATATCAATGTGTAACTTAATAAAATTCAAAATAGCTAAAGTAAAATTTGATATAAACAAGTATTAGAATTCAGAAAATTTTACTCAAAAATCATAAAAGTTACTATAAAAGGATTTTTTGCTAAAAAAGTTTAAGAATTTTAATAAGATGACGGTATTATATAGAAAAGAGATGAAATTAATGTTAAAGAGTGAATACAACATTAAATTTTTATGTTTTCATTTAATTTAAATTTAGGCCAAAAACAAATAAAACTAAAGAAATATATATTTTTCGATTTGAATGATGAAATGAATAATGTTGCAATGTGGAAATTTGAAGAATAAAAAGAAAATTTATGAAAGAAAGAAGGAAATTTTCATATTTCTCTTTAAATCTAATTTTTTTTGGCAAAAGGATTTTATTTATTGATTGTGTCAATATGGAAACTAAAATAATGATATTAGTTAAATTTTGATATGAATGAATAAACTTGAGTAACGCGTTTTAGTGAGAAATACATATATATATATATATATATATATATATATGAAAAGAAATGATATGATATGATATACTTGTAAATTTAAGAAAGGCTATCAAGCTAACATTGCAGCAGAGAATTTCAACTCAAGATCAGTTGTTAGGTGACACGAATAAAAGAGTGATATCTTCTCCCAACTGCAGGAGTGTCGAAATAATAAATAACCTGACGAGACCGGGGTTGAACCATAGAGAGGTTAATTGTATAAATTACAGATAATAAT